TTTCACTAAAGCCATTCTCTTTCCTATTTCTTATTCAGATCAATTGATCAAATACTCGTTAGATCTAACACAAATTACAGATCCAGAATCTGAAGATAAGGTTACACAACTATATGTTTCTTTTATAAAAATTCTAAAACCTAGTAATATGAGATCAGCCATGGATAATCCATACACTCGTTACATAGCAACATCTGGATCCAACCTTCTCTGAATAGCAGCTGCAGCCTGTTGATTCAAACTGGTTAGATAATAGACGAGGATGGAAATGGACATAACGAATTTTTTTCAAAATCACCCTCACCTCAAAGTTGCCAAGCTTATATTGGTAAGCCATCTCTTCCTTGAGTCGGGCTTGCTCTTTCATTGCTTGAGCCTGCATCCAATCAAGTAAATAAAACCGATTAATTGGCTTTAATTTTACCACGTGTCTAGAAAATGAGATTTTATTGCTTATGCAGAAGAATACCATTCCACTCTGCATCTCCCGCTTTAATGCTTCCACTTGTTCTTCCTTTTGCCTTTCACGTTCTCGCATGAGTTCTAGCCTGAGAAGGGAAATGACCGAAAATTAGAAAAAAGCAGAACTGAAATCAGCAACAAACTAAGTTCTAACACAGTAAAGCAAGTACACGGGGTGTTTTCATTGATAGCTACCCAAGTTCTGTTGTTTGGATACCATTCTGGTCAATAAATTATTACGGAAACAATATCTTTTGCGTATATAGAGATTAGCAGCATCTCAAAGACAATACTGAATATTGCGTGTGCATGGCTGCAGGTTGATGAGGCATTATTGATGCCAAAACAGTAAATGTTTTATCCTCGAAGCTATTGTCTTTAGAGCATCTTGTTTCTTAGAAGTTCAGAAAATGACAGCCGTCGCCTTCATGTTAGTCATTTACATGATAAACCAAACTAATAAATGCACAGTGCCGTTTCATTTGTATTCCACTCTTTCAACAAACCAAATATACATCTTACAGAAGATGTCATATTAACTCATGAATGCGTATTTTTGTGTCCAAGTAAAAAACTATGTCTATAGCTCTAGATTTTGGTCTGAAAATGGACTCCAGTTGAAGTTGCCAGAATCAAAGGAATGAAAGAATTCCTAAAGATGATCTATGAATGCCAAAGTAAATCTACGAATGATAAAGCAAGCAAGCAAGCACTAGAAGTTAAAAACCAACCTTCGCTGCTCTTCATCGTTAAATACAGTACGTTCTTTGTCGGGGAGTTTCTTGACACCTCTTTTAATTTCCTTCTCCAGTTTATGTCGATAATAAGCATCAAGGTCATAATATCTGCAACCATTAATGACAAAGAAATGTGGTGAACACTGTCGACTTAAAACAATCATGAGACTGAACAAGCACTAAAAAATATCTCTACACTACTACATCATTGCGGTAGCAAGTCATCTCGAAACAGAAAAGCTTATTCTCTCAAACACGAGCCTTTTGCAACAATATTTTCTTATTTCCACATTATAAGTTTGACATAAATCACCCAGGTAGAAATGACGGCCTATTTACATGCTTATGAATAACAATCTACCAAACAGAAAATAATATATACATCTGAAATCTAAGATCAAATCCCCTACCACCCTAAAAAACTAAATAACAACATGAAAAGAAATATGCTAGGAGAAAAGTAGAGGAAACAAGACCAAAGGTGAGTGTTTGGGATTCCTAATTTTCTCCTAAAATTATAATGCATTTCTAATGGATCCCACCAAACAGTGATTTGGAAGACTCTTGTCAGCCATTTTGATGCTGAATATGGACGAAAATGCCTCAGTAATTAACCTTCATTCATTGTGGGCAATGGGTGTAATTTTTTGTGGAATTCTCCTGGGCATATTTGTTAATCTCTTGATCTAAAAGCAACTGCTCTATATGTATTGGGAAACGTGATGTGCAGACAGCATTAAATTAATCACAATATCTTTGAGGCACTGTTTGCTGGGGCTTATTAAACGTGAATTATAATTTTAGGAGAAAATTAGGAACCTCAACCACTTGCAAGATGTATGAATGATAATAGCAATATAAACAAGAGTTAATAGTGAAGGGACTAACTTTTTAGACGGAAAGGTAGCTGTGTTGTGATCTTCCATGAACCTGAGCATTATATACCATTGAAGTTATAACGCAAATAACACTAAGTTAATATCAAAATTATTAACTATATTTCAATTGTTGCATAAAACTGGAAATTAATAAATTATTACTGTTTGAACATTTGCTTCTCTTCCCAATTAGGCAGACTTTCCAGATTCACCTGTTGAAGAAAAACCATCATATTATTCATGGCAAGAGCAAGTGAGCAACTCTCCAAAATACCTGAGAAAAATGGACAAAGCTGGTTTGCCTCATATTCAATATAAACACCAAGGAAAACTAATTTGTGTGGTAATAGATCAATTTTTCCACATCATTTTCGAAAAGATAAGTTTAGGTAAGCAACTGAAAGAGAATTTTTGACGAATAAAATAGAAAACTTAACTATAGAAATATACTTGACGGTTGTCCATCAATCTTCTAAAGAAAGAAAAAGTCAATTAAAACCGGAATACCTGTTTAACTTCTGCTAACCATGCAGTAAACTCAGGCCTTTTATTCCTAAAAGAAACCAAGGTAATAAAACAAAAGTGTTTGAGAAGTAGTGCAACATCTATTAGCAGACTGACTTAGAACAAAACAAACAAAAGAGGAATTATCTGCATTCAAACTGCATTCACTACAGGACCAAAAGTCCCCAGTCTTATGCACTCACTAAAAGTTAAAAGGTAAAATTTCAGTAGTATAATAGTGTACATATCTAAATTTCTAGTTCAAATCTCACCCAAGTAGTTATATTAATGCTGATGGAACTAGTGACCGATACAAAGGCTTGGCTCGCCATCAAGGGATTCACTCTAATATATGATAACAATTATCAGGACATTGCACCTATAGCTAAGATGAATATGGTACATGCCTTGGAGCATATCCATTATCTAAAAAGCTCTTTAATAGCTCCATCCTCTTGATCTTAGAGGGTTGGTAATCTTTCTAAGGTCTCCAACAAACTCTTTATATTTAAAAATTAAAATAGAGAGTGCATTTGACTCTCCAAATGTAGAGGGTCAAACCCACTATCTAGATTATATTTTTAATGATTTCATTTATCATTTCACACTTTTCTGTTCAGCTTATAAAAAAAAATAAGAGGATTAAAAAATAAAAAGAGGAAAACTACGTAAAAAGAGGAGGGGGAAGATTGAGTCATCTTATAGAAAAAAGAAAAAGAAAAAATAAATATACAAAGTGTTGTCAGACTTGTGTAAAAAGAATCGCCCTTTATTTTTTGAAAGTTCTTCAAGATGTTCTTTATACTGAAAAATACGCTCTTATGAATAAAAAGTTCAGTCACAGATGCTCTTATGGACCCACCGCTAGAATTTGAAGCAAATTTTAGAAGAAAGGTTTGCAAATTGAATAAATCCATGTGTGTCTTGGCAAAGTTATCGCAAACATGGATTGAAAGATTTACATGTTCTGTTAGAAAGACAGCACATTTCTAAAGACAGACGATCACTCAATATTATAAAGATAAAGGAGATCATTGTTGCATGAGAATACATAGTATGACGCCTATAAAAGCAGCTTCCAAAACTTGCAGTATAAAACCTTGACCCCTTCACCATCCACCCTTCCCACCAGGATGATATCATGGCCCTATACAGCATGGATATTAGCATCCTACAAAACCTTAATGCAGAAGCTTATGATTACTACTTTTGAGCACTCACGAGACTGAAAGATGCACTATCACCCTTCCCACCAAGATGCATAACGGACTAAGCAGGGCATCAGCATCCTACTAAACCCTAAAGCAGAAGCACCAGATTTACTATTTTTTGGTTACACATGAGACCCAAAGGTAAACTATGAAATTAAGTTAATTCGTCCATTGTGAAATATGCCTAGTCTAAGTAACAAATGAACCAAATTTCTCAACATCAAAATAACCTGACTCCAGTATCGAAATATTTGCCAAACATTTTCACAGTATCATATACAGACAATTAAACCTATCCTTCTATCATTAACTAACCATGGAAAATTATTTTCCATAATCTTCATAATTTCTGCAGATAAGTACAATTCTTGAAGAAAAAAATTGCTCAAAAAAAAAAAAAAAACAATTTCTCAGGCAAATGTAAGTGTAGCAACGTACCACATATCAGTTTCTCTAATGATACCATATTTTCCCCAAGAATTAGTCACAGCACCTTTCTTCCCTTTCTCTTTCTCTTTCTTCTTATCCTTCTTTTTCTTCAATTTTTTCTTCTCTTCTTCTTTTCTTTTCCTCTTCTTATCCTTTTCCTTTTCTCTCCTCCGCCTCTCCTTCTTCTCCTCTCTCCTTTTCCTCTCCTTCCTCCTCCGCCTCCTTTCCTCTTCAGAATCCGAGTAATACGAACTACCCGACTCCGACTCCGAATCGCTAGAATCATCATAATAAGACGACGAAGAGTAGGAATCACTATCCCTCGACCGTTTTCTCTTGGAACTGGAGGTTCGAGTTTTATTCTTCTTCGTTCTTTTTCTGCTGCCCTCGGATTTTCTAGATTCTTCGTCGGATTCTGAGTCCGAATCCGGATCTGGTTCCGAATCGTAGCTGAGGCGGTCACGTTTATTAGATTGAGACACTCCATTTTTGCCTTCCGCAGTTCCGTTTCGATCCTTCGCCATTTTAGCGTGAGCTATCGCTAATCGAAGATAATTTGTGAATTCAGGGCAGCTTATATATGCGCGAAGTCGCATTTACACGATACGCTTTTCAAAATGTCATTCCTACAACACGCGACTTGGGTTAGATATTTTCTTCTTTTCTTTTACACACATTATTTGTTTATTGGACAGTAGAAAAGTAGGGGAGGGCTTCAAGGTAATTTTATGTTTGATGGTGGGTTGATACTTTCCGTGTTTAAAATTAGTGGTAATTACATTAAACCAGAAATTTTAAGTTTGAATTTCAAAAATCATATATAAAGTTTATTTATACACAAATCAGATATTAATTCAAATATTTAATATTTTTAATACCATCAAAATTCATCACAATCCCTAATTACAAAATTTAATCCAAATCATAACATATTCCCTCTCTCCCTCCCTCTTCCATCTCCCCCTCTCTCATGCAGATTACCTCTCTTCCCTTCTTCACTCTTTTCTCTCAGGACTGCTTCTCCATCACAAACACCGGAAGGGAGACCACCGTTGTTGCGGTGATGACGCCATTGTGGTGACTTGAACGACACTGCGACAGCGACGCTCACGCCACTATAATGCAGCGACCGTTGCTTAATGTTGTAGCACCCATCGTCGCTGCAGCGCCGCGATGACGCTACATTGCAGAGCAGCTTTCCCCCTGCCCCTGCAACAATTCGGTGGTGATGGTGGTACTCCAAGTGGTTGGTGCTGGTGGAGGTGCCGGCGAGGAGGATGGATCCGGCGGTGGCTGTGGTACAACATGTTGACGGAGTGAGGATGGATCAGGCTGTGGGGAGACCCTTTGGCCAGTTGCTGGTACGGTGATGGTGTGCTAAAGTGAGGGCGGTGGTGTAGGATACGTTGATGGAGTGAAGGTGGATCTGGCTGTGGGGAGACCCTACCCTTTGGCCAGTTGTAGGTGTGGTGACGGTGTATTGAGGTGGTGGTGGCAACGAGTTTGTGGATTCTTTGGTAGGGTGGTGGTTGGGTGTGGTATAAATGGAGATGGTGGTGGTGTACTGTGGTGGATCTCTGGATCTGTGGTGGTGGTGGATCTCTAGCTGCCCACGTTATTGTAGGGTGGTGGTGGTGGTGCGGTGGTTGTGGGTGTGTAGTGGTGGTTGTGATGATATCGGTATTTTTAGATGATGGTTTGCTGCCAGGAGGTGGTGGTGTTTTGGCGACGGGGGTTTGGTTGCCATGCTGTTAGTGGCAGTGGTGAGATGGTAGTCACAAGTGTTGATGGTGGTATGGATTATTTGGTTGTTTGTGACCATTAAATTGATTAATCTATGATCGATAAATAAAATTCGATCAATGAAAAAGATAAACTGTGTCAAAAATAATGTGTGACCTAAAAAATTGTTAATTTGTGACTGTCCAATAATTTGTGATTGACAATATTTGTAATGTGACCAATAAATAAATTGTGACGTTTTAATTTTTGATTTGTGATCGATAAACAAATTGTGACATATAAATTTTTTGAATTGTGACGTTAAAATAATTTGTGATAGAAAAAAAATTGTGATTTGTCACCGATAAATAATTTGTGACGTACAAAAATTTTAATTTGTGACCAAATTATATGAAATTGTGACTTTAATATATTTAATTAATGAAATATATGTTTAATTAATTAATTTATAAATAAAATTTAAAAAAATTTGAGATTTGAAATTTTAAACTTAATCTCTTAAATTTGAAATTAGTGAAATTTAACCTCTTAGTTAGGGGTGATGCAAAATCCGACCGAACCCACCAAAATCGCCCAACCCGATCGATTTGGATTGGTTTTTTTGTTATTTTTACACGGGGTTGGGTTGATTGTGTAGGTGGGTTGGGTTGGATCGAATTATGAGTTAACTCATGAAAACTGAATAAACCCGCCCAACTCACCTACTTAAAAAAATAAATAAAATGCCTAAAAAGTAAAATGAACATAAAAAGTATGAGTCGATAGTATAACTCTAATTATCCTAATGTATTTTAGAGGAAGAGTTTACTCTCATTCCCACAAAAAATGTAATATAAATTTTTCATGTTATGTTAAATGCACTTTATTTTTTGTAGATTCGGCTAATGAGAATTGAATAAGATAATAGATAATTTTATTTATTTATTTACTTATTATTTAATCTTGTCTATTCGAATTTAGTATAATAGACAATTGAATGACTTTAATTTTTGTTGACAAGTTGTCACAAACCGACCAGCCCAACCCAACCCAACCAAACCGATATTTAATTGGATTAGGTTGGGT